ACGTGGTCATGAGGGTTGAACAAATGACACAGAATATGGTTTGGGGAATAATCTAGTCTTCAAGTTCATTTCTTTACAATTTCGTCTTTTTTCGTTTGATTTTGGCATTCTACCACATTGGTATGGTTTTTTTTGTAACGGTATATTTTTGCTTATTTTGCAACTGTTTTGTACGATTTACAGTATGGTTGAAAACTTTTTTTTTTGAAACGGCCGAAAATTCATGCGCGCGCGGATGCCATCCATATAATCAAATCAACATATGGCCTTACTGTTATACCAATGCTAGCCGTTACACGCGATTGGTGCTGCCGCACGGTAGCATGTATGCAATCTACATAATCTATGTTGCCTTATAAGACGTTGTAAACTTCCTGGATATCGTTTTTAAACTTTCCACACATGCAGTACTATACTAGTAGCGGATAGCTGTCCGAGTTACGCCCCCCTCCCTCCCCCTCCCTTCCGACAACGGATTCGTCCGTCCAGGCACTACGTCAGTGAGAGAACGAGCAGCCGTCGATCATGTGAGCCAGGCATCAAACACAAACAACCTAGATGCTATTTTCTGTTCAAATCGGCGGTGTAACTACCACAAAATCTAGGAAAGATCAATCTGACAGCTCACCGTCCGATTTTCGTGGGCGCCGCCATTTTTATTACCCGGCAGCCTTCGCGACAACAACAACAATAACAGGTGTTGAAGTAACTTTCTGTGAAATGTTTTCAAACGATCAGTGTGATTTTCAAAGCTAACATGGCCAATTTAAGCTCTCCAATCCTTTCAACTTTTCATAAGAGGTAGTGAGGTTTATGTTGTGAAAATGTATACTGTACTGTAATGCTTATGTGTTTATTAAACAGTGTTTGTGGCTTGTACCTTAAATTCAAACTTTCGTGGATAGGAGTAAAACGTAAAGTAAAACTTCTCTTGTATTATGTGCATAAACTACTCAGTTATGCGTATTCATGTCTCACTGTGAAATCTAGTTGGATATTGATGAATCAAAAGTCTGGACAGAATGTCGGCAATCTTATATTATCACTCGCACAATATACAGTAGTACTTACATTTTAGTTACATGTGCCATGAATGAGAAGCTGAACACAAAACAACTGCACTCTCCAAGGACTTCTTGTTACGTTCATTCTTTAATTCACCCCTATGATACTGAGTGTATATCATATCCACCACAAAATGTAGATCTAAGGACTAATTAATACATTACACTACGCTAATACCTCTACTTACAGTTGTCCTGACAAGGCCATGTAACGTTATATGTTAGATGTAATTCACTGGAGATAAAATAACACAAGCTCACAATGTATGACTTTGAATATGTTTCATGCAGTCCATTTCATGTAGCTTTATGTACATGTATCATTATAGCACACAAAGTTAATTCCTTGAGAAGCAAAAATGTTGGGAAATAGAATTAATAAAGTTTCCATCAATTAAACTATTCCTTGAGAAGCAAAAATTGTGGGGATGGCATGAATAAAGTTTCAAGCAATCATCCATGGGCATTAGGTGCTACTGATACAGTTGACACTGTACACATCTCTCTCCATTTTTGGCACTGGATGTCCAGTTGGATCTTGGGACCCCTATTTCCCTGAGTGTGTTGAAGACTCAGTCCTCCCACCTTCTTCTAAAATGTTCTCTAGGATGCTCCCAGGTTGGGATTGCTTCTGAGTTTTATCACGTGATTGGTAGGTTCAACTCTAGAAGTTCATTTGGGTTTGGTTATCCTACAGATGACTGGTAATCACCCTATACATGTATTTTATTACACCATATGGTTAGAAATGTTAGAAACCTCTAAGAAAGTATCATAATTTTCCTAGCCTGGATGCTAGACTGTTTATAGGGCCTACACAACAAAATTTCACAGCCTTGAGTTAGACCCAAAGAGGTGGACTGTGTAGGCCCTGGAAAAAGTCTGGCACCCAGGCTGTGATTTTCTAGCTGTGAATGTTAAAGTCCTGCAGACTGAGCTATCTGAAGTATGTTCTGTGCCTGGAGAAGTCCTGGCTTGTAGATCATTTTCCCCTCATATTCAAAGGAACCCTGAAAAAAGTAAGTAAAAGATGAAAGGAGGTTAAAGGAAATCACCAGGGTTATGAATTAAAGAGAAAGCATTTAAAGTTGGAAGACCTCATGGATATGCTTCACTTTTCTAAAGCTGCTGCAAACTGAACTATACTTTGTGCCATCAACAAGATTGGTGTGTCGACCATTCTTCCCTCATACACAAACACCGCCTGGAGAAAAGAATGCCAAAAGCAATACTGACATTACAAAGCATTGAAGACATTGTTGTTTTTGAAGTGTGTACATATGCTATGACTGCAATAATGTTAACAAAACCATACCTGCTGTTACAATTTGAGACTAGAGAAGTAACATTTGCAAAGCAAATGCATAATGTTTACCTTCGGACATGGTCTGCCCTGTTAATTTTTACTAAAACATATTCACATACATGTACTACTAGTATATGGTGACAGGGGCAGAGCAGACCATGAAGTTTGCAACACCAGTCACCATGGTGACAGACGTCAACAAATCATGTCATTGGCCAGGTCAGAGGTTAGTGTTTGGAGAAGAGGAAATTGAGTAAAAACAATATGTTTTCCTTCGGTAAACATAATTATGCACATGTATTGGATGATAGCAGTGAAGTGTTTGTAGTAAAGAGTGTAAAATTTACAGATATAGTTTGTATTTAGCCCTTAGCTAAAACTATATTTCCTTTACTAAGGAGAAAAACCAGGACAAGGTGTACAAAAAAACTAAAAAAACATGTGAAACGCTGAATCGCATGCTACATCTACTTGGAGAAGAGGCGTTCCTACCTTCCCCTCCTGTTGGTGTTGTTGAAATGCCTGAATGAGTCCACGTGCCCAGACTACCCTCTCAGGACTGGGGGAGAACGCCTGCTGAACAATCGGCACCTGGAACGGGTGGATCACTGATTTTCCTACAGTTCAAACATTGCCACGGGTTAGAGAAATACAGAGTACTGTAAGGATCAGATCTCTTTACACATCTAGATTTTGAGTGAAGAGAAAACAATATGGAGTACACTTACGGGTAATACAGGCACATCACATTTAAGCCTCTGTCACAAATTCAGAACATTCCTTTGAAAACCAGCCGACCAAGATTGGCTGAGGTTCGGGAGCAGTCTGACCAGATTTAAGCCATGCCTGTCTTTCTATATGAGACAAATTTGAGTCAAATTTCACTGCCAATCATATCAGCAATCCTTTTCTGTCAAGAAGAATCTATCATCACCATTTCCCACATACATGTACCTGTAAATCCAAACCTAGCTCCTTCCTCTGCCTGTCTTCTGAGGCTCTCCGTATCTGAAAAAAAAGAAACAAGTACTGTATGATTTTTCTCCATACACAAAGTTTCAATGTGCAAAGATCTCATCTAAAAGAATAATCACAGTTGATAACTGCACAAGTATCATGTTTTAGAGTAAGTTAACAGTTCTGAACTTCTAGTTGGCTAAGCAATGTATAATACAACAGATTCAACCGTCTCCTCCCATACTACACGGTCCCTTGTGGAGTAGATCAGTTACCTAGGATTGTGGTTAAGTACCAGGAGTTGTCATAGGTTGAATCTTAAAAAATTGTCCTCTAATGGAATCAATTATCATTATCTGATTGCTCATAAGACCATGACACACTTGACAATCTGCTGCTTACCTTTATAGTCCACAGAGACGTAGTCAAAGGCCTGTAGACCGAATGCCTTTGCCGCAAGGACTACCATCTGTCTAGCATATATCAGTTCTGTGGCATCACTGGTCCTACTGGCACCTGCAAAGCAATAGGGTGGGGTTAGGTGGGGTCATAGCTCTAAAAATATAATGTTACAATCAAGACTCTGTTGCAAATGATAACCATTAAATGAAAGTGGCACCACTGGTTCATACACATGTCCATTGTCTCCAATTTATCAGTTTTTAGCTTTTCTTTTTTTAGATATAAACTACTTTTGTTGACTTAGCATCTGTGTTGGTACGAGTCATTATGAAATAAAGACTTAGCTTTAACTTCCAACACTTAGATTACAGAATTGGGACTTACCCCAAATTTTCGGCTGACTCCATCAACCTTGTTCACGGAATGTTACTTTTGTTGAGTTGGCAAACCATGTAGGCCATTCATGAGCATTCAGACAGCTTGTGTTATCAGAAATGTCCTTCAGCACCAAGGACAGGGATATTAGTGTATACTTGTATTTCATGGTTACAAAGTGAGCACACTTCCCGATTGAGCTTTCTACCAGATTTTCCAGGCATTCACCAGGCACTAACTACGAAAATAGAAATGCCTATTATTAGGAATGTAAGAAACAGGAGGAGCCAGTAGAAACAGATAAAAACCCACTGGTCCCGGGCCGGGGTTCGAACCCACGACCAAACCCGGGCACCAGTCCACAGGCAGACACTCTAACCTCTCCTCTAAAAGGTCTAGACTTGTTTACCGGATCAATTGGTAGCGTCTATAAACCCCCCACTGTTAAAGGAACTACCTATATCAGCAGCAAAGTCTTCAGACCCGAAACACAAGGCCGCCAGTCGGAAGGGAGACATGTCAGACAGGCTGACAGTTTCCTGTAGAATTGGCTGAAGGTTCATCAGGCCTTTCGCACTCTCCAGGAGGGCAAAAAGGTCAAAGGTCGGGTTACTCTCTATTCCAGCGACAGCATCATTTAGGCTAGCAGCAAACTGTGGGGGAAAAGTATATAATGTATGTGAATATGTATGATAATAACTGTCAAACAAAATAACGGCATGTAATTGTAAATGTATTTACCTCCTTGATAACGGTAAACTTTTTCACAAGATGACTTGTTTTTCCATGGTTTTTCTCACCAGAAACAATGAGCATTCTGTATCACTGGGATAATTGTTCTCTGTATAAAATAGGCCATGTCATTATATACGCCAAAAAGCAGTTACTCAAGCAACTCGACATGATTTTGAAAACGTCATGTCATTATATATCAAAGAATCAAAACAGTTGTCATTGAAAAAATGAAATTGTGCTCATAATTGTTACAAAATGCCTAAAAAGCTGGTGTGTTGCACCAAAGTTCATTTATACCAGTCAACAGTATTGAAAATGATCAATGTATACCTACAGTTTGCATCTCTTCAACACTCTCCACCTTTGGTAGCAAAATGGCTGAAGGCAGCTTCTTTGCTTGCAGAATAGCTGACAGGTCCTGTTTAATATGGATGCAAAGTAAAAAAAAAACTTTATAGCATTTTGTAGTTAGAGTTTACTAAAATCTATTCATTGGTGATAGAGTTATAAAGCTGTTGTGCTATTGCCAGTACTGATTATCATAATTTTACAGGAGGAAATGAAGAAGTTTCACTCACATCGTCTGCCAGCCCACTGTCCACAGAGTTGATCCTTACAGCACACTCTGTCCTGCCGAAGTCAACCTCCTCCAGCATTCTCCTAACTGTTGTTCTAGCTTCATCCTGGTGGACAGACACAGTGAACTTTTATTACAATACTCTAGAGCTGCAAGCCAGTGGAAAGGTGGAAAACAAGAAATCAAGTATTTCACACCTCCCTAAACTATTTAGAATTTCTTGTTTTATTCATTCATTATTGCAAATTTCTTGCTGACTTTTGTGCATTTCCTCCAGCCAATATATACTAGTAATCTGTGATCATTTTTAGTTAGGCAAAAAAACATCTACACAACCAGAGACCATTATGGCCTGTTACTAGTTAGGCAAAGTGAGACAACATTGTCTGCTTGGTCCATCAGTTAGGCACTTTTCCACATGGGCCAGGATCCAAAGTCCAACCTTTGCTACACTTTTCTGCCTCTGCACTTGTAGGAAATTTTCTGGTCAGAATTTTTCAAGGGAATTTTGAAACTACACGAAACAATTACAAGGAATCAAAACCAATGATGAGATAAACCTAAAAGGTAAACAATAAAACATACCACAATGCCTCTCCCATATTAGAGTTTAGTCTCCACCAGACTTCTTTTGCGGGGTGAATAAATCGTACAAATCGGCCTAAAAAGGGTATTAATTGGCCAGATAAGGTAGCCGGCCAGAGAAGCTCCAGGGCCCTGGAGCTTTTAGGCCGATTTCTACGATTTATTCACCCCGCAAAAGAAGTCTGGTGAAGACTAATTAGAGTTCTTCATTCATTCCTTCATGCTCTATTTCAACCATTAACTACATATTATTATACAGAATATTCAATCATCAATTGAGGACCTTTTTGCTCAGTGCTACGGCATCTTCACAGTCCAGAACGACGCAGTCCACGTCCAGTGTTGGGACCTTGCGAATTTTCTTCTCATCATTCCCAGCTACAAACAGGAGTGCCCTTCTGGGCCTGAAGACAGCGGAAGGTTGTCCCGGTGGACTACAGTAGGATCTTCTCACTGATGTCTGCAACACAACTCTGCAGTAGAACAACATACCACATAGAATACATTAGTCTACATGAAAAAATACAAACATTGTCATATCTGGGTTGATTAGGGTCTTGGATGTCCCTATGGCCCAAAGCTGCATGAGAGTGAGTGAGTGAGTGAGTGAGTGTGAATGAGTGAGTGAGTGAGTGAGTGAATGAGTGAATGTGAGTGAGTGGGTGGGTGAGTGAGTGACGTGAGTGGATGTGAGTGAGTGGGGAAATCAAACCAAAGAAAACAAACAGCACTGACAAGAATCTATTGTAAATCACTCGGACGATTTTGAAGAAGTTACTTTTTTTAATGAGATTCTAAGGGACAAAATACGTTTCTGTTACTTTGGATACAGAATTGTGTAACACTTGGTCAACAGACAATTATGTCTATTGTCTTATTTTTCCTTGATCAAGGAGCTTATATGGAGATATAAGTAAGTTGACGTTGCACCATTATTTCAAAATGTCCTGACATTGTTTAGTGTATTGTTTGTTGAACAGATCCACATGCTCTCAAATTCCAAATTGGTAAAACGCGGAAAATAGCCGCGCGCATTTATTACTTACCGAAGAAGTTTACTAGATGCCATTTTATATTTCCCAGCAAGCTTTACGTCAAGAAAAGCCGGTCCAGCAACTTTAACCTTTAAACCAACGGACCGTTCCAACATTTTTTCATGGGGTCCAATTCGGAACCAACCTGCTCTGTCTTGTAATATTGCATCTGAGAAGTTAAGACTATAAGAGTTGAAAATTTGTCAAGATGTGCACAGACAAACAAAAAAAGGAAGTGCAACGTTTGCTGATCTGAGCTGGTGTGTTACGCCGAAGGGCGGTTATACCGGCTATACCGATACAGATAGTACAATTTTCCTTCGAATTCGTGCTCGATATTCCTTTTACAATTCTGCTTTTCTTACGCATTTAAAAATACAATACCTGCATACGGAAATATTGGTACAAAATTGAGACGAAAAACTTAAGCATAGATTCTTCACTTGTTCCATTTTGTCAGTTTTTATTATTGATATTGATTATTACATCCTGGCGAAGGTAATAAAAACAAGAATATTTCCTTCCCTGGGTATCTCTACGATCTACCTCGTTGTTTCGACAAAACTGACTAACTTACAATTACAGTTTAAAATTTCGGGAATACTAGACGATTATCTTCGAATTCTGATTGACAGGAGTCACAGGACTTTCTGCTGTGGTCACTAATGCATGTAGAAACAAGTTGAAATAAATGAAGTCGCCAAAAAGCAATTCCACCAAGGACTGTTTAAGTATATAGCAGTCCCGTTACATCCCATAGTCTCTTACACTTATAGGGTAGCTAAGTTTCCTAGAGTTGTAGAGTGACAGAAACTGTCATACGTTGTAACAAGAACATCATATACTGTCCTTGGCATTGTGCAATCAAGTTAATTGTACATCTATATGCCACCTCCGCAATGTCTCCCGCATGCGACAGTTTGGTTCTCCCGTCGTAGCCTCCTTTGCAGGCGTTCGGGTTGCACGATTTTCTTAATCTCCAAGCAGATCCCTATCGGTGGCAAGAAGACAGCATCAAATTGGCCAGGCAGTATCCATTGGTCAGAGAAGGTCTCCGGCCACCGACGGTGGGGGTAGTGACAACCAAAAAAAACGGCCATATATAAAAAGGTAACGAATCGATCATTCCTCCACAACCTCTGCTTGGAGAGTACGATTTTCTGATCAAACGTAGATCGCACGCATCAGAAGCTTCGGCCTAGCGTAAGGCCTCTATCACTAGTATCAGCCTCTACCAGGCTTCGGGAGGCGGTCCGGTGCGGCAACCTGTACTCTCTACCGGACTAACTCCCCCGGCATGTTATCTCTCTATTTGGCCCATTTCTACTGTTTCCAGCCACCTCCAGAAGCCTGGTAGAGGCTAGCTCCGGCCGCCAAATCTAGAATGCCATGCCAGGCTCCCAGAACGACTACAAAGGAGGCTACTCCCGTGGGGCAGTATGTCCTCTGTACACGAGCACGCTCTAAACTTGCTAATATGATGCCCTTGTCAAGAGCCGATCGTCATACAAGAAGAGCATATGCACATCCCCGCCATATGGTGACGCGGCCCTCCCCCGGGGGGGCAGGGGGGACCTCTGCTCCCGGAGTCACCGTCACGCCAGGGGAGGGGACAGACCCGACCCGCGGGGGTCCCGCCTGATGACATCTTTATTGTCCTCCGCAATCATCGGACGACATCTTGTGCAAATACACGTGTATCTCATGACAAGAAATATAGAGTTGTTTGTGCGTAGGGTGACAGGAGCGCGTTCAGGATCTATAAATTTCTTTACAAGTCAGAGTTTGAAGAGATCGATCTTCTCAGACCAGTACTAATGCTTAGCACAAAATGGAAACTTTTATAAACATCTAATCCTACAATCATACAGGCAAAGACGTCTTATGCCTCACTGTCCTGAGTACATATAAAGGCTGTAAATTGAAGATACTGCATTTCTCAACCATCGAAAGGTTACCAAAAAAAAACAAAAAAAAACTGAATGCTGGCGTACGGGTCGATTGATCTTTGTCTTTCTATTACTTTGTGTCACATATGTATTATCATCTGTATTTTCTACATATTGAATCCTTTTTGCTAATTTACTATGTGTAAGTGGTCGCGTTGAAATAAGCTTTAGATACTTGAGTGCGCTACCACTTTGTGTTGTACCATCTTATACAGTATGACAATAAAAAATCTCGATTATTTGATTGATTGCTTGATTGATTGATTGATTGATTGATAACATATCTCGATCGTATAATAAAATTAAATCCATCTGTTGAACAATTTTGCAGAATTGGAAATTTATGAAGTTTTATACAGGTTTTGCAAAGCGACTGGATCTCAGCAGATTAGCCATCACGCATGGAGACTGGCGCTGTACGGACTAAACCGTCCAAATTCTCCAGCCGGGCTAATATATTATAAATTGAGCAGAAATAATTTACTGCGGTGATGGTCCAAAGCTGGGTAAAAGATCAATGTTGCAATCTCATCACTCTGGCGGGACTGTCACCTTTCAGGGGGTCGTGGTTCGGGATTGAGATGTTAACTAATCTCCACTCGTGCCTAGCGGAGAAACATTACAATTAATGAACTGATCGTCAAAAATGCGTACAAGATGAATCTGAACTGTTCCTCCGTTTAACGACGCTTTCTAATTACCAGGGCGACTATTGCAGGATACGGGAGTCATGTTGGCGTTTCCAGGGTGAGAAAAGATATTACGATATTACGGATCGAGCCTTAAATATAAGTTCTGGAAAAACTTCGTTAAAACATGTCTTGAGAAAAGGCATGTTAACTGTAGCTAGAGTTGTAGCATAGATATGTTTAGTTATTTGACATACTGCCCTTAGGGTTGGGCAGGAATACGCAATAAAGACCATGGTGATTGTCAAAAGTACTCTCCAAGCAGAGATTGTGGGGCCGGGGAATGATCGTTATCTTTTTATATATGGCCGTTTTTTTTGTCCTGATCCCCTCGGTGGCCGCGGAGCTTCTCTGGCCAATGGATACTGCCTGGCCAATTTGAGTACTGTCTTTTTGCCACCGAGAGGGATCTGCTTGGAGATTACAAGAAAAGTATCACTTGTATATATCAACATAACACATAACTTTGTTGGAATGCCACGTCCAGTCTTTCCCAAGTCTTTCCCAATTTGGGTTCTATTGAGATTTAAAAAAAAAACGCAAAATGATGCCCAACTAATCCCGGTTCCCGTTTCACAACAGACTTCAAGCGACATGAATCCCTTGTTGTGTGTAAACGCGGCGTCTAGAAGAATACTCGTAACTTACAAACGGTCTCTCAAGACAAATCAAACTTTATTGCCCAGCAATGGTAACGGGTAAAAGGTATGGCAAATTGCTCAAATAATTAAAATCTACACTACATGTAGGGAACAGGTGTAACTTTTTCGTGCTTTATTTTTACACGAGGGAACGAACTGCAATGTTTATGGACACACACACACACACACACACACACACACACACACACACACACACACACACACACACACACACACACACACACACACACACACACACACACACACACATTCAAACACACGCGCGCGCGCGTACACACATACACACACACACGCAATCGCACGCATACACGCACACACACACACACACACACAAACACACTCAAACACACACACACACACACACACACATTCAAACACACACACGCGCGTGCGCGCACACACATACACACACACACGCAATCGCACGCATACACACACACACACACACACACACAATCACACACACACACACACTCAAAACAATACCTCCGTCCCCAGATGTAATAAAACAAACTAACAGGTATATCCCCGCAGACAGAGACATTTCTCCACAGTCCAGTGTACGGCAGGTGAGACCAGACCCCTGACTGATCCCAACAATGGCCCTCCCGTCATGCCACACTTGTCAAAACCGTCACCACTTTCTAAAGACACAGCTGTCCGGCCGGTAATTTGGCTGGACCTTTCCAGTCAGTAGATAAAGTGACGAAATTCATGCGACAGTGTTGAGAAAAAGGTTAGACACTATGGGTGGTGACAATACTGCTCATTTTGGAACCTCTCAAGCTTTGTTCATTGTACCGCGTAGTCGGAGTTGGAAATCGTATTTACATCCAGTACAACTAAACACTGCTGGTCATAAAACACATGTACATAAGAAAGCTAGCTATCACCAAGGAGGTTAAAAAGAGATACAGTAAGTATCACCAAGACTTAGTATGTACGTAATGGCCATGGCCAGGTGTGTCTTGCTTTCTATTCTTCTGAAACTCTTCTGAAAATCTTTCTTACGGTACACGTTTGAAGATGTACCTTTGATAAGAACAGATGTGGTGTTCTCCACGGCAAGTGTTGGCATGTTGGCGAGCACACAAATGTCGTCAGGGGACAGAAATCAACTCCGCTGTCATATTTATTGCCCATCACTAATGGCAGATTCCATTACCCGTCATGCTGTGCGATCAAGCATCCCCAGAACATGACCCTTCCCTCTCAGGACGGGCGACTCGGTCCTAACTGACGTATCAATCAACCGGCTTGGAAATTACTTTAGATAACAGCTGCGAGGAGTAGTACTACCTTCTGTGTAACACTATTGTACCGTCTTGTGTGTAACCATGACAAGCTATTGTTCGTTTGACTCAATAACCGTTTTTGTACGAAATACCAAGTCCCTATATAATGTCCTTGGACATAGAGAAGGCAGTAACTTTGCCATGACAGCAGGCCAGATTTCAATTTGGTTGAGGTTTCAAATTGGACCACAATGTGTATCTTTTCCCTCCGGTTCAGTAACAGAGAAAAAGTGCGTTTACATAAGCCGTGATATCAAAAGACCATTCGGTTGTTCCGGGGGTTTTGTGACGAGGTTTTAATCCATTCCTCACGGAGCATTAATTTTGACCGCGACAGAAGGCGACTCATAAAGTCTCCAGCTTCCCGCGCCAGGGCCTCGCCATGCGTGCCACATTTGTACGCTTTGCCGCTCGGAAGGTTATTAAATTGAGTTGGAACTTACTGTGCAAATGTAAACCATCGACCGTTCACCCAGCCAAGGTCAGCAAAAAAACCGGAACCAG